TGTCCGCGAAGCGTGGCGTGGTCCCAGCTGCGAAGTGCGAAGGAAGTGGGGAAACCAGGGGTTGAACCACCGGCGAAAAGGAGAACGTCAGCAAGGAACATGGGAAAATGCATGAAATTCATTTAAACATCCAGGGTTTTTGTTTATACAATTATTTATTTGACATGATTCTTCATGACATGGACGGATGTTGCAAGAATAAGATAGGGACCATCAGAAATTGCCATTTAAATATGAATGAGAAAAGGAATGTCATCGCCAAAGGTGGGAATTGTTGATCAGCAGAGCGGGTCATCCACAAACGAGAATGGGACGGCTGTGGGCATTCTGACATAGCGTGATTCAATTTGAAACTAGACGACGGATGGCCCGAGAGCGTAGAGGAGCAGGGTCTTTTCTTGTTAGTATGGAGACACCATATTACAAAACAATATATTAAAGATGTGTTATACGCAGCCGAAAAGAGGAGTATCAAGACAATATAGCATAAGTACAAGACAATAGTTTGCATCGGAAACACTTTTACACACAGAAGCTTTTACACAGAGCAAACTTTTACACAGAGAACCCCTTACACAGAGAAGCTTTTACCGACAGGCGCTTTTACACACAGACGCTTTTACACACAGACGCTTTTACACACAGAAGCTTTTACACACAGAAGCTTTTACACAGGCGCTTTTACATACAGACAGTTTTACACACAGACGCTTTTACACACAGTTGCTTTTACACAGACGCTTTTACACACAAAGCTTTTACCCACAGAAGCTTTTACAGACAGAAGCTTTTACACACAGACGCTTTTACACAGACGCTTTTACACACAGACACTTTTACACACAGACGCTTTTACACACAGACACTTTTAACACAGACCCTTTTACACACAGGCCGGCCCATGTTCACGCACTCACACTGAAGTCATCGTTGTCGTGGCCACTTCAGCAATTCGACGGAGGGGTGAAGTTCGTACCATGTATTCGGTGGACGTGCATTCAATATAGTACAGGCTATAGAAGTATTGCTCAGACAGCTCTGGTTGCAATTACAAGTAGCAAAGTTGAAAATCAAATAGCTAAGCTGCTCACTAAGGTGTTGAGTCAGGCAAAGAACCGACCTGGCCCCCCGCCAGGGTGGCGGAACCATCCTATTCCCTCAAAGTATTATAGGAGCGGGCCATAATATATACGTACTATCAAAGTCTGAAGCTAAAGCCTATTTAAGGCTATTAATCTAAATATTGTAAAGATCTAAGATGACGACTCGACGATATGCACCTCATCACAATACGTGAACAAGCGTGTAATGTCATGGCGAGCCTAACTAAAACTTTTGTCAGCCCCGATATTGTCCTGCAAAACCTTGAAGCGATCACTGCTTGCAGCAGCTGAACCAAAGCGTGCACGGAGACAACCTGGTCGTCCGTCGTGCTCTGGACAGTGTTGCGCCGAGTTGCCCTCTGCTGGAAATGGGTGTTCGTGTGTTGCCAGAACGCATCCAGGATGTCCACTGGTCATCCAAGCGGCACTCGGGGAAGCCCCGCGTCAAGTGCTCGCGGTCCTGCCCTTTTTGGAACACCTGGGGATCAGTACTCCCAACGGCCTGAAGTCCCTTCATCACAGTCAATCCGAAGGACCCGAAGAATCTAGCGGACTTCGAAGACTTGAAGAGCCCGCCAGTGGATCTCCTAGTCCAAGGCCCCAAGCTACTATACTCCTTGCTCAAACTTTTCTTCACACATCTGTGATGATCTAGGTGATCGCTGTGATGTTCTTCTCCAGGAAATAGCTAGTTGCTTGCTTCTTCAAAATGACTTCGTCAACCACCAATTTGAGGCCACTCGATCAATCCCAAAAAAGGTCAATTGACCATCTCAAAAGGGATCACTTTGAAGAAGCAACAGAAAATAGTTTTTGCTTTTCTTTACTTTGAAAAGTCCGTCCGTCCAGAGAGAGGCCTATCTGCCCACAACAAGAGATCCGGGGGGAACCAGGGTTACTGGCACTGCAGGCCAAAGGTTATCACAGGTTCAATTGGGAGGAAGTGACAATAGATGTACCATGGTTGATGGCAAGGCCATGGTACACCATCACGTTCATTTAAAGTCATAAGACCTGAGGAGGAGCCTGGACACATATACCTTATATGGTGTGTGCATGTGTCGATGGGGTAGGGTGGCGAAGTCCGATTTCCAAGTGAACCGGAAAAAAAGGAAACGAAGTGACTCGAAACCAACATGTATAAGTATGTCATGAGGGCTGTGTGCTTTGGGGCCCCCCAACTAAGGTGGTTTGCCACCTCCCAAAAAAAAGTATAAACGGGCGGACCTGGCAGGCGGCGGACGTTTCTGGGCTGGGACAAGCACAGTATTACAATATGATATAATGGGATTGCCCTTGTGCTCCTTTCCATGTTCTTTTTGGGTTTAGGGTCCTGCGTGCTGACTCTGACTTGAATTAATGTTCGTATATTACTAATATCTATGTACAATATATATAATGTATATATAATTAAATATCATAATCGTAATATTTATGTCAAATATAATCTCAAGACTATGAGACTCATATATGCATCTAATCCATCCTCTCCCGGGGCCCTGGCCTGATGAAAACCCAGCTGCATAGAAGATGCAAAGACCTGCAAAGCATTCAAGGACTATGACTGGTGACTGTGACAGATTACATTCAGTGACGTCTTGGCCTATTCACAAGACCTACATGCACAGTCTCATGGTTTTCTACAGAGATACTCTCCATGCATAGGTGAAAACAAAAGCAATCAGCAACTTTTTTTCATGAAAAAGTTGGGTGTAGATGCCAAAGTCTCAGACAGTTCTGTTTGACTTCTGCCGCTGCACTATGGTGAAACAGGATGCACGATGCATCAACAAGTCTGAGACAGTTCTGGTTGACTCATGCTGATGCATTTCATTTTGAAATTGAAAAAAACGCGCTATCAAGGCTCCCAGCGCACAAACACGTGAGAGCTAGGCTGCGCCATGTTGGAAATCCCGGCACCACTCAGAGCGCTGTTGTTCCACCATCCACAACGCATCTAAAACATAGTCTCGATGGCGCCACGGGCGAAGAGACGGTCTCTTTGTGAGCAACAGCTTGATCGCATCCTCCGCGCTGTAGTCATAGGCCACAATGAGCCAAGCACACAAAATCGCAGCGCTGCTGCGATTGATCCCACCAAAGCAATGAAACAAAATGTGCATGGGCTTGTCTTCGTTGACGGCAATGACTGACTGTTGCCACAGTTGGAAGCATATGCTTTTCCAGCTGGAGAGGCATTTCCTTTGCAATGCTTTGTGCCGTTCCAAGTCGCGGCCCGGCTGCTTCAATGTGATGTCATCCAACTGACAATGAATATGAACTACATCGTGCTCACTGAAATAATCCTTCCAATTCGATGGAGCTCCATGTGGTTTCATCTCAGTCTCACACATGGAAACAACCACTGTTACAGACACGCCAAGATCTTCTTTGATGACATCCAAGTTGCAAGCGGCTTGCAAGCTGCCAAGCAGCACACTTGCCCTTTCTGTGGGCTTGCAAACAAGGCAACCATCCACAGGCCACGCAGCTATGGATGAGAAGCTGTAATTGTGTTGTTGGATGATTTCATCCAAGGCCGTCCATGAAGCAGTGTCATTGTACGCATCATGGATGTCTTTTTGCCTGGCTTGCGACCACTTCAGCATCTCACGTTGCGACATGGATGAGCCTACCTGAGAACACTGGTGTCTTTTACCTGAGAAAAAAGCTGCCAAATCGTACAGTGAACATGTCTTGCAGTCGTCGGCGCACTCACATGCGCACACATTCAAGCTGTGGAGTGAAGCACATGGAAGCGACAAGACAAAGCTCTTGAATCAGGCAAATCTTTTGGGCAACTCAGGTACGAAACGCAGATTTGCTGTCACGCATGGAAACTCGGACAGTTCTGGTTGCTTCACATGCGAAACTTGCAAAACGAAACATCCATTTCACATGTTCTCCCGCTGCAAACGCTTTGCACATGAACACTTCCGTCCTCCACGAAAAGAGACGCTGTGGTTCCATGCCACAACCTGGCAGCAAACGAAACTGACGCGAACACATTGATTTCAGGGTAACTACATGCACATGGCATATCTGATTTGTTCCTACTCAAATCTAAATACCCAATTCTGAGATTGTGAAAGTAAATTGTTATTTCCCACGATCCAAAATATTCCAAACCAGTGGCAAAACAGAACAAGGAGATCCGACATTGAACTAGTGAATTTAGAATGAGACACGCATTCTTGGGCATCACGCGCTCTTTTGATGATACATACAGTAGATGAGGTAACCTTCAAATAAATTGATGTGGATATGAAGATAGACAAATGGATGGTCAAGCACAAATCGATTTCACGTGTTCTCCCACTGCAAACGCTTTGCGCATGAACACGTCCGTCCTCCACGAAACGAAATGCTTTGGTTCCATTCCACAACCTGGCATCACATGAAGCTTTCACATGTTCTTCAAATGCAAACGCTTTGCACATCAAAAGTTTGACAACCTGCCAGCAAATGAATATCAAGCGGAAAACAATCCTTTCACAGCAGCACTCCTGAAAGGGATAAACCAACAGACACTACCAATGGCTATCTTTTTTCTACGTTGCCAAAACATTCTGAGAAAGTTCTGTTTGCAGAAGACTGCATTCAGTATATTACAGGCTACAGAAGTATTGCTCAGACAGTTCTGGTTGCAATACAAGTAGCAAGGTTGGAAACCAAAAATCAAATGGCATTGCAAAAAAATTGCATTCAGTATGTCACAGGCTACAGAAGTATTGCTCAGACAGCTCTGGTTGCAATATAAGTAGCAAGGTTGCTATGATCCAGCTTAGCGACACAACTGAGGCCACAGTGGTATTGCTCAGACAGTTCTGGTTGCAATGCCAACTGTGTGTCCTCCGTTGCAAATTTACGCTGCTGCTGAACTTGCAGGAGCCATTTTCAGCCTCTCTGTGGTAAGCCACGATGAAATCCACTGCCCGTCGAATGATACTCCGATCCCATGGCTATCTCACTTGCTGATTTCATGCTTGCATCTGGGGATGCCGCAGGAGGAGGTGCCATTGGCGCAGTGACAGCATGCGAAGAAGCTGCTGCACGATGCACTTCGGAAGCAGATGTCCTCGGCAACAAATTTTGGGTGAAAGGATATGGGAAGTTCGCCTCCTTGTCTCCCGTCTCAGGTTTCACTGCCAGCATCTGCGTTTCCAGGCTTTTCAAATAAGGCGGACTCGGAGATGGAAACCTCCGCGCAAGTTGCTAAGACTTTAGGTGGTTGATATACCATCAGAATGCTAAGTAAAGATGCGAGGTGCAGATGTAAAGATGTGAAGATGATATGATATGAGAAGTAACTGTCAACAGGCGAAGATGAAATGTATAACTGTGTAACCATATTATACAATACCAAGTGCTACCAAGACACGTCCAGCGTTCAGTGCCCATTTCGTGAGTCACCAAAGCTTCCAGTATCAAAGTTTGCACTTTTTCATAAGGAGCTTGCCAGCCATGGGCGATCGCATCGTTTTGGTGAGGCTGCATCAGGAAGCGATCTTGGTTGACCATGGTCTCCAAAATCTGTTTGAAAGAGCCTCCAACATTTGGATACTCTGTCGTGTCTCGCAGTCCATCCAGATCGCAAAATACCCAGACTGGAGCTGAATGCGGCTCCCTTGCTTCTGCCAGGCCGACATTATCAATCTTGGCATCCCAAGGTACCACATCATGATGCACGAACCGGAACAGAAGACGCAAAATCTCGACCTGCATCTGAACATATGATTCCCATGCCTGAGGCGTGCATTGCATTGTCACGAAAAGTGATGTCAGTTTCGATTTGCCGGTGAAGATCAACTTCTCTGCAAGCAGGATAGATGCATCACCTTTTACCATTGCAGAATTTCCTTCAAAACAATCACCATCTCCCGTACTGGTTTTCTCCAAGAAGATTTGCCCGAAACAGTACATCATTTCTTTCTCCACGACATGTTTGTACCGATCAAATCTTTGCTGCTCTGCTCTCCACTCATACTTGGTTTTCTCATCTGTCATCATCTTAACTACAAAATTGTAGTTGTCAAGCATAAACACATCTTTGGAGGCGCCGCTACCACAGCGAGTAACATTGTCTCGGATAGTGATGCCTTCCTGCTTTTGCGTCGCATCCCGGAGGATCAAAACAACGGCAGCATTTCTAATCTTCTCTACGTGCTTCTTTTTTCCGGTTTTGACCCATTCCTTCGCACTAACCTTCAGATACCCTTTCACTAGCTTGAAGTCTTTATACGTAGCTACAGTGGACATGGCGGTGATCGAGCGGGTCGTCGAATGACGTGTTGCAGCTTCAAGTAATGACAAACTAATAACATGTTGATACAAATGATTCACGTGAAAGAAATCCAGTGTCAGTGAAAAACAAGGCAGTCACACGTGCCTGAACGGTACCCGCCTCTCAGACAGTTCCGGTTAAGACGGGCCGTTCGAGCACGTGTGACAATGTAGTTGCATGATCAACGGAAATTGAAAATACAACTGCAGCTTGAGCTAAAACAATGATAGAACTTATTATCGAAGAGCTTGAGACGGGATCAAGACAAATAGCTCTTGATGCCTTCAACAAATGCAACTGTTCATGCTTCCACAGCTACGATACATGAGCCAACTGTACACCGTTTTTCCAGAAGGCAACAGGCGCACAGAAGAATCATGTCACGACAAACGTTTCCAAGCCTTTGACGTCTTTGGAGCCACAGCCAAAAAGTGGTGTATGCCTTGGACATCAGCAATTTCTGTAGTGTTTCAAAAATCTTTTCGAATAAGGTATTCAATCATGGCAGCAGCCCGATGTGTGTGTGCGCGCGTCCTATCAGACATTATATGTAAGACTGTCATGAGTTTGCTTTGAAGCACTTTGCGTGCATAAGAAATGCAGCTGGATGTAGTCACTGTCTCACAGTTTTCCACACAGGTACTCTGCATGCACTGGTGAAACGATCTGAAGCAAAAAAAACAACCGTGGAACCTGAGACCGCAACAGACGCGCAGCACGCTCAGACAGCTCTGGTTGCATGCTGCCACTGCTATAAGGGATAAGTGCCACCTTTCAATGCGAAACTATGCCTCTCTTCATACGATAGGATGATAATGTCTAATTTTTGCATTACAAGGCTCCACAGAACCATTCCCGAACCAAACAAGAGACGCCACAGGCACGACAAACATCTCTGGAACCTAATTCCAAAACAGTAGCAACACGCTCAGACAGCTCAGAAGGTTACAAGTTGCGAGATGACAGCCAGTCCTCCATTTGACATTGGAATCTGGCGAATCATTTTCCCATGTTCATCTGTCTGTGCCCATTGGCTCACACCCTTCGAAGACGACGTGCAATTCAAATCAAAATTTGCTAACGAGCGATAATATTTCAAGCACTGCAAGCAATGAGCTTGCCCGGCATAAAGATATTCATATTCCTCTTTTCTTTCTGGAGTCATTTTCTGTTTCTTTTTATGCTTGGTATCAAATATTGGACAGTGAGGTGCAGCACTGCATTGCTCCCATTTCTCATTACCTTGTCCGGAACTTGCTGGAACACTTTGGACGCTTGATTCTGACCTGGTCCTTTGAGACAAGCAAGTCCCTTTCCCAGGAGCCTGTGACGGTGCATGTGGCAGCTTTGACCAAAAAGTCTGTTTGCGACTTGTGCTGGCATCTGCATCATTGCATAATGCTCGCCAGCCTTCCAGATCTTTGGCAATCATGTTCAAAGATGTGAAGATGAGAAGATGTGAATGTGTGAAGATGATGAGAAGATGTGAAGATGAGAAGATGTGAAGATGTGAGGATGTGAAGATGAGAAGATGTGAAGATGAGAAGATGTGAAGATGTGAGGATGTGAATGTGTGAAGATGATGAGAAAATGTGAAGATGAGAAGATGTGAGGATGAGAACATGTGAAGATGAGAAGATGTGAAGATGAGAAGATGAGAGACAGACCCCCACTATTGGAAGAACCCTGCGCTCAGACGCTCTCGGGAAAAACCTTGGATTGTGGTCGCTTTGTACAACATGGAAGTCATCCTCCAAACCAATGTTGCAGTCCCATGTTTGTTTTAATAGGGTACAAGTTATGAGAAATGGAGATAAATGGAGAACATCATCTGATCATGGGTTTCCAGCTGTCTTGATGCGTATGCATGCATGCCCATTCCGGGACAATTTTGCTTGTTGCATCCCATGCGTTGTTACTATCTCCAGGTGGTTTCTTCTGTGCCCCCATTTGCGCATACAATGTATGAGTGGCTCAAATACCTCCAGTTTGATACCTAACAAAAGAGCTCGGGTACCAATTATTTTGGGTCAAAATAGCCCAATCATGCATGTGTTTGAGTGCCTAAGTAGCTTGGGTCACAACAAGTTGGCTACATCCCTCATTGCTGTTGCTTGGTTGGTCTCGCCATTCGCAACACTTCGCAAACAGATCTAGTATGACAACTTGTGCCGCATGACTGCTGACTTGGACTTGCAGTTCCAGATGTAAGTCGATAATATAACATCATATAACCAACTATAACCATAAGTTATAGGGATTATATGGCTGTGAGTCAAAATTGTGTATGGAACGTTGGTGTTCCGGACCGATGGAACGAAGGAGCTTCGTAACTGGTCTTGTTCCGGAGATTAATTCCCAACTTATGGATCCTTTATGGGAAAATGTTACATTTAATATAACCATGATCCCAACTTATGGATACTTTATGGGAAAATAAGATTATATAACCATAGTGATAGGGATTATATCCCAACATATGGACACCATTGGATACCTAGGATCTTTCACCATGGTAGCCATGCCGGTCCCCGGTATGGTCCTGGGGATGAGCTGGGCAGGGTGCGGTTCACCTCATGGATACTGAGAATCTTCGGGACGGCCTGACGGAACCAGGGTCGGATGGGTCAAAAAGCCCGGGGATCCCTTCTGTTCACATGAAAATGGCTGGGATTTATGGATGTAAATCCAGAAGTTGTATATAGGCATTGATATTATTGATCCATAGCCATTTTTTTCGCCCATAGTTATGAATCTAACTGGGAGATATTGTGGGGTTTTTGAGCCATTTACTAAGTGGGGCCACCCCCAAGTATATCCTTATGTCCCCCAGTCGTAGTGGAATTCCTAAAAAATTGCCAAATCATCGACTCAGCAAATTTCAAGTATGTTGACTTACAGGATTGCTCCAAACACCTCAGGTACAAGGGGTGGTAAATTTCGTAATTTAGAGGTAAACATAATTCATTTACATCTCTTGTGGCTATCATTTATCTATAATGGGTTGGAGCAACCCCAACTTGTGGCAGGGTCATGCAAGGTCTATGTTGGTTGGGGATGGTCATTTTCCATCTTGCAAAACATGACGAGAATCGCTGAAAATCCCCATGGTGAAAAAATAACCACTTCCCAGCCAGGAAATAGCCATGTTTCATGGTTGAAATTCCGAAGTCAGATCACTTCGGGTGGCTGTGCTACATTGGATATGAATGCTGGTTGGTGGTTTCAGCCAACCCCTCTGAAAAATCATGGAGTTCGTCAGTTGGATGATGACATTCCCAACTGTTACTGGAAAGTCAGTCAAAATTCCATGGTTCCAGTCAGCACCAACCAGTTATGGTTTTTCAACCATCAACCACCAGAAATTGACCATCCATGAACTGGACATCGCTACGCTATTCTCCATGACAACATGACAACATGTTGATTGCTGAAATTTCTCATGAAATCCCTGGATTTTTGATGAAGCCATGAAACCCATTAAATACTGTGGTTAATATAAATGGTTAATATATGGTTATTATGTGGTTAATGATGGTTAATGACTTATAACTGGTTGGTGGTTTCAACCTACCCCTCTGAAAAATATGAAAATCAGTTCGGATTTTATCTTTGCCAATGGAAAAAAAAGGTTCCAAACCACCAGCCAGTATGAATGGGGTGGTATATTCTAACTCATGTACTAACTATTCTATATACTAACTGACTATTAGTGGTTAATGATCAATATTGGTAAATTCTAACTATTGACCATGACAGAAGTATCGAAGTCTCCTCCAATGACGCCAGAGCTGTGGAAGGTCTCTCCATGACATCCATGGCTAGACTCTGATGGCTGGTGGACAACGCTATGTTGAAGCTATGTTGCGCAAAATGAAACGGCCAACAAATCCAGATAGTTTACACTCTTCTTGTTGTTCACAGTTGTCCACTTGGAATCATCCCAAGCTGGTGTTTCTCCTACTTCTGTTGTTTCACTAAGCACGGAAAAACAAAAGCTGCCAATCTGCCTTAAAAGTACCTCAAAGCGGTGGCCAAGATCTGGCTGAATCATAAATTACCCGACTCAAATCGGCCAAAAAAATGGGGATACATGGGGAGACCGATCATTACTTAACTCTTAAACCATCCTAAAAACAGACTGCTGATGTCTTGGAATCCGTGGCGTGTTTAAATCCGTGGCGATGCACGCGTCTCCCATTTTGAAACACCCAACCTGGAGCCGGTGGCCGTTCCGAAGGATCAGGGGCTCTCCACAAGGGAGTGTTGTTAAAACGAAAACGTGGGTGTCTAACAAGAATTATACAGTTTTGTGAGCCAACTTGAGAATAAAGAGAATCAGTCATTAACGTACATGATCATTAACACATTGACATGATATCAAATGATCTTTAAAACGTAAGGATTTTCAAGGGTGATAGTTGGGATAAAAGAATCAACATCCGGACCTACTCGGTGGCTCATCCCACTGAGTAAATTGGGGTTCTGTAAATATCTATAATTAGATGCTCATCCATCCAGTAAATTGGTTGTGTATATATATATATGTACATACTTATATATATGTATATATATACATATACTATATATATATGTTATATATATAAATAATATATATATATTGTTTATATATAAATCACATATATAGTATATAATATATACATATAATATATATTATATTTTATATGCCCTATATTATATATTATCTGTTATATATTATATTATTATATATTGTATATTATATTATTCTAAAAAGATATCTATTATATATTATATATTGTATATTAAATATTACATATTATATTTTATATATTAAATGTTAAAAATTATATATTATATATTATCTAGTATATAATATAAATTATATATTAGATTTAAATATATTATAACCTATATATTATATATTGTATATTATGTATTGTATTATATATTTTATATATAATATTATATTATATTTATTATATTAAATATTCAA